TTTTTTTTTTTTTTTTTTTTTTTTTTTTTTTTTTCCAGGCGTTTCTATGACGTTATACATAAGCATGGGTAAGTGACTATTTTATCGACAGGATGGAAATACTTTGATTGTCGTGAAAAACAAGTGACCTTTAGATTAAGATCCTCCGACTAGTGTAAATTGTAAATGTCAGTAGTAGTAAATGAACAAACAAACGAAAATATTTGGTAAATCTAAAGCTAGCTACTGGGTGAACAGACCTTATCGGTCACAGCATGCTTCTTCGCTAGATTCAACTTAGCCCTTCACTTTTTTATTTCACCCTAAATTTATCATTTCATTTGTTTATTGGTTTCTTTCGTTAGATAAGTTATTGGCCTCTTCCGTTAGGCGCTTATTGCTGTTGTCCTTTTTCGTTTTCTTTCTCTGCCTCATTCGTTTATCCTTCCCGCTTCCCTCCGACCGTCCAAATTTTTGCTTTTGTTTGGTCGTTCGTTTGTTTCTCCTTTCGTTCGTAGGGTGGAGGTTGGTCAGTCGTTAATTCGTACGTCTTGGTTTTGGTTTGAATAATAAGTTCACAAACATTCGTCCGCCTTTGCATTCTTTGTATATTAGAAGTCCACACGTTTGCAATTAACTCGCAATCTTCTGAAAGTCCAAAAATCGTCTTTGAGACATAATTTCCTTTAAAAGAAAATAATAAACTAATTCCACTGCATACACCTCCAGGCAATCAAGTGGAAGGAAGAAAAACATCTACTTTATAAGGTTTTATCCTGTTTATCGTTATCATATTGTTTATTTTAGGACCCCAAACCAACTTATTGTTTACTGCTTGAAGCGAGTATTCGCCGAAGGGTGAAAATAAAATATCTTTAAGCAATTACTTTTTTTGAACACTAGTAGTCTTTTTTTTATTATTATTACTTAAAGTTTTTATTTTATTTTATTTTATTTTATTTTATTTTATTTTATTTCATTTTATTTTATTTTCACTTAAAGTTTCCGTGACTAGGGGCGCGCAATGCCCCGAATTTCAACTAACTGAATGGAACTAAAAACTAGAACTATTTAAGACTACTTAGCTTGTCTCGGACGAAAATATTCTCCCCTTTCTAAGTTAGGTAGTGCGATATTTGTAACGGAGACGTCCTTTTTGTTTCTAATTCAGTTATTGCGTACTATCAAATCTTTAAAAGCAGTGGTGTTCGCAGGGGCGTATTTAAGGCAGAGAAGAAAAAAAGGGTTATATAGCTTCTACTTTTGTAAGATATTCTTTTCTAAAGAATATGGTCTTTATCCTAAGATAAATTGTCAAAAATCCTCATTTGCCCAGTGTGATTTTAAGGCGTGTGCGTTTGTATTTAAATTAAGAGGGCGTATTTGGCAGCATTTACGGTTAAGCATATACACTTATTTCAATAAAGTTAGTCACCAAAAAACCTAGAAAGCTGATATCACTGAGGATCATGGGAAACTTTTAATACCAAACAAGTAAAGCTTTTGATACAATTTGCAGCTTGAGGATGCTCAGAAGAGGTGAGACTGTAACTGGTAAAAGATCTAAAATCCATTAACAGTTATTAAAGCGGTTGAAACATGTAAAATGTATCTACCCATAATCCTTGTTGGTCTCAGCTTTGTAGCTTTTCAGGCGACTAACTTTATTGAAATAAGTGTATACGAAGACAAAATTTAGGCGTTCTCTCGACAAGATATCACGGAGTATTTGAGGGAAAATTCCTATATCAATTATAACACCAGTTGGTCAACAGAGCACATTTGAGCATGCGCGATAGATATGCGCCTTACGCCACTTCAGCGGCCATACACTTAAGAGTTAAGACGATTTTCACCGGAAGCGAGTAACACTGAATTTCTCATTTTGCATGTATATCCGTTGATTAATTAATACCGTGAAGGGAAAAATGCTTCAATATTGTCACTCAAAAACAATTAAAAACTTGACAATGAAACTTCTCCAGATCACGTGAGAGCAACCATGTCGTAATGCAGTACCATGGTATTTGATTCTTTCATACAAATGTGTTTTAGTTTCGCTGCAAGAAGAAAATAGAATCCATTTTTTTCTTTTAAATTTTTAAACTGAGATTTGTTTAAGAGGTAGAGCAGAAGACACTGACTGTTGTAATATTATACTGATCGATGACGGAGCTTTTTGTAAAATAAAAAAAAAATTTTTCACCTAAAAATCAGTTGATTTTTTTTTTTTTTTTTTTTTTGCTGCAGGCAATATTGAAAAAATTAATCCTTTGATGTCAAACGAAGTTCCATCTAAATTCACGAACATGTGTAATTTATTATTCTTA